GTTTGTTGCTTCATGGTTTTGTTACAGTTATAAAATTAAAAGATTGTTCTTGTTCCGTGACTAATCTCAACATATTTGCACGGTACATAAAGGAATAGAGGCAGGAATGGCATAGTATTTATTTGAAAGCAGTTATGTAATCACCCACATACCTATGATTAGTGTAAACATGCTTCTTTTGTGCAAAAATAGCTCCACATCCATCTTTTCACATGCAAGAGACCACTTTCTTACTATAGATAGGTAAGTATAATACTAACCATTAGTACCATAAGTATAATACTAACAAAGTATAAATATAATAGTATAATTAGTATACTATTAGTATAACTATAAATAGTATGATAACTACAATAAAGTAAGTATAATTGAATAAGAAGAGTGAGTGAAGATTTTATTCAGTCACAGACACAATAGAACTTAATATTTACATTTACAAACAATATCATAAAGAAAGTGACTGAAAAGGCACAGGCCAAAGCAAAATCTTATGCACATATTAGGCTACCCAACAATTTTTACGTATACAAAAAATACAAAATAAGATACTCATTTCATAAAATCATAGAACAAATCATAAAACTAACATATCCTCCTTTTCAAAAAATCAAGAATAAATCCTCATAAAGAACCAATAATAGGAAGTAACAAAAACCTTTACAGAATCATGAAGACTTGCAGTCTTCAAAGATTGCACTGTAAATCATCCTTATACTAACTATATACTATAATACTAACTATTTATAACTACAATATAACTAACAATAACATTAACTGTTCACAATGACTATTATTATTATTATTACTATTATAATGCTCATAAATAATCATGCTCCCTCAGTGCAGGGATCTGCTCCTCTGGAACTGACATTGCTGCTGCCATCCGATCCCTGAAGGCATCCCCACTCTGTTGGGCCAGGTCATGAGCTGCCGCCAGACAGTTATCATCTCCATCAACCTCTTCACAGTCCTCTGGCTCCAAAATGTCCCAGTGCCCGAGGCAGAGGTTGTGGAGGAAAAGGCAGTTCACAATGACCTCCGAAACGAAGTCAACCTTCACCTCCAGGGCCTTAAGAAATATGGAGCGCCACCTGGTTTTCAGGACTCCAAATGCCCTCTCCACCACACTCCTGGCCCAAGAATGCCTGGCATTGAACCTCTCCTCGGTGGGGTTCCTCAAAGGCTCCCTGAATGGGGTGATAAGGGTGAGTGGTTGGGAAATGCAGGGATAACCCCCATCCCCTAATAGGCACCATCCTGGAGGAGGGTACAGCTGGTGCACGTACACAGGACTGCACCTGAGGACCCGCGAATCATGCACAGAGCCAGGGAAACCGACGTGCACGTCTAGGAAGCGTCCTTTGTGGTCCACAATGGCCTGAAACTGGACAGAGTGGAACAGTTTTCTATTAAAAAAGTCTGCTTCATACTGTCCAGGGGGCACAATGCGGACATGACATCCATCGATACTTCCTGCCACTCTGCAGAAAGCTGGGTGACCACCCAACTGCTGGAACCCAGCCCCAATTTCCTCCAACTCAGCCCTGTTAGGCAAACGGATGAATTTCCTAGAAACTTGCTGGATGTCGCTGCTGACCCGGTGGACCATATCGTGGCACGTTGAATGAGGGATGTCAAAGGCCTCTGACACGACCCGATATGATGTGCCACAGGCCAGCCAGTAAAGAAAAACAAGCACCTCAAGTGCCTTTCCCCATCCATGATAATGGTCCCCTTGGAGAAGGTGGATGAGGTGCTCCAGGGAGGGCCTGGTCAGCCTGAAGTCCTTACACAAGTCCCCCCCCTCAAAGTACAGGCGTACCAGAGGGACATGATGGTTTATCTGGCAATATGGCCCTCTTTCCCGAAGCTGAAAAACATTGGTGGCATGTGATTGCAATAATATATATTTTTAATCTTTTTACCAGATTTATTTGTATTTTAAATTAAGATTGTAGGTAATGTTTTTAACTATTTGTATGAAATGACTTTATTTAAGTGTCTATTAAAGATGTATTTATTACATCAAGTTTGAGCATCTTCTCATCTCTGAATGCATCATCAAAGTGGTCACTCATATTAAGCACACACCTCTGATTAATAAAAAATATTATTTGTAGAGAGTACATGGTTCAGAATATACAAACGGGGGAGTTTCCAGTTGACAATATATGTGAGCTTTACTAATTCTTACTTGTGGTTGAAAATCCATCAGGAAGTACATAGCTGCCCTGAAGAGAAGACGCCTTCGTCTCCTTGCATGGCGGCGCTCCATGGTTGTCAGCCTACACCAGGCAGAACGACCCGATGGTTTCTGAAATTATCATTGTACATGAGAAGAATGTAGTCGGGAAATTATGTATTTGCCAAGGAATAACCGAACAAGGTCATAATAATTATGTTGTGTGTTGGTCATTTTGCAGCCCTCTGCTGCTCATCACACGCCCAGCAGGTAGTGTATAGCATTATCACCATGGATACACAGATGTTTGTGAAATTTTTATGAATCCACTGCCGCTTAGTTTGAGTCGCGTCGCAGTTTATTATGAAAACACTTCGCAATAATTTGGAAACGTGAAGGGGGAGCTGCTGCTGCCCAGTATTTACAGCATGTAGACGCAAACACCCACCAAGCGGACGCTTCGGTCTCCGAAAACGCCGAGACAAATTTACAAACAGCCGCTTTTCAAACAACTGGGCTCATAATCGTGATGTAAACACTTACTTTCTCTGATTGAATTTATACAGTCTGTCCGGTATGCAGTCGTTTTTGAAGCGTGCGGTAGGACTATTTAAATTTTCCCGGCGCTGTTTCCAGCCGGCACGAAATGCATTCTGGGGTGTTTAGTATGTATGTGTGTAAACGCTCTGGCAGCCGCGGCATACTCAAATCATCTTTGAGTAGTCAGTAGGCAGTAGCTACTGCTTGAGTAGGTAAGTAGATAGTAGGCAGTATGCCATTTCGGACACAGCCACTGTATCTCCCCTGCCAGGTAAGTATGAGTTGCAGAGCTCAGAGACATGCAACGCATTCACTGCCATATCACACTGACCGATGGTGCTGACCATCTAAGTCAAAGGGTGTTTGTGTGTGTGGGGGGGGGAGGGGTCCACAAAACCATATGTCACAAGGAACTGCCCAGCAAGGCTTGAAACTGCCTTACAGTTTACAATGCTGCAGCGCAAGCTAGGTATTTTTGCATCATTTAACACAAACAAAAGCTGACTGACTGCAGACTTAGGCTGTGTCTCATTTCAGAGACCGCATCGTGATAAGCGTGCTTAACGGCGCTTAGCTGAGTGCACTGCCATTTTGAGCCGTTTTATGCCGTTTTGTGCCGTTTTGTGCCCTTCCTGTGTCCCATTTCAGATACAGCAGCCATCAAACTGCCTTACAGTTTACAATGCTGCAGCGCAAGCTAGGTATTTTTGCATCATTTAACACAAACAAAAGCTGACTGACTGCAGACTTAGGCTGTGTCTCATTTCAGAGACCGCATCGTGATAAGCGCGCTTAACGGCGCTTAGCTGAGTGCACTGCCATTTTGAGCCGTTTTATGCCGTTTTGCGCCGTTCTGTGCCCTTCCTGTGTCCCATTTCAGATACAGCAGCCATCGAACGGCGCATCTGACGCATACGTGAGGTCACCACGCGGCATGAACGGTGTCCCGTTTGGCACAAAATACTAAGCGCGCTTCAAATTCGGTCTCAAAACCACACTACCCCCGCCCCTTTTTCAAGCGTGCATGTATGCACGCTTTTGTGCTGTCGGTATCCCAGAATTCTTTGCGTGCCGCTGCACAGCTGCGCATTTCAGGTGAGAGGCTGGACTCGCTTGGAGGCACAGCGCGTCTTCGAAGAAAATACAAGAAATCCAAAAACAGCAGACAGTCAGCTCAGGCTATATGAGAGCATGATCTCTGAACTCACTAAAATCTGTAAACCAAACATTATAGATTTAGAGACGAACTGATCCACTCTGCTACAACTATCAAAAACATTAGAAATAAGAAAGCTGACACAACTACAGTAAAGTATCAGGACAACATTGAGTTTTTTTTAAAGTTGTAAATTTAGGAGAATAAAGTCATAAAGTATATAAAGTCATAAAGCTGCTTTTGTGGAGGGGGAAATGACTGAACCTGGTCATCTGCAGGGTTATCGGTGGATGTATCAGTTGGTCATTCAGATAGATTTTGTGGTTTCTGAAGAAACAATCAAACTGATGATGATCAACATTTGTGATCCAGAGGGAGTCGAGCTCAGACGAGCACCACGTCTCTGACACCGGCGGTAACCTACACCAGCAGAGACACCAACACCTTATTATGGCAGATGGATTCATATCATAAACTAAAGCTCAATGTCATTCACGGATATTTACGGCTGCATAAACGGATATATCCTCAGCATATTCATTTCTGCCTCCACAAAAGCAGCGATTTCCTTCAAGTACACCTGTTTTTTTTCCCCTTGGAAAAGACGTATTTCTCATATGTTCTTTTTTAAGTCTTTATACTTACAACAATGTGATGCTGATGTGCCAAAGGATGAAGTATCTCCTTGTTTGTGAAACCTATACTGAGGCACAGTTCCTTCAAATGCTTCATGGCCCTAACTTTAACAAGTCTCCTCTGAAATAACAGGTTACGACTTTATTCTCATAAATTCACGACTTAAATCTCGAAGTCTTAAAAAAACAGTCTCAATATGGCCCTTATAGTCCTTCATACAAAACAATCATTGGATGAATTTTGTGGGAATGATCTGTGCTTGTATGTATCTACTATTTTGTGTCTGTGCAAGGTCGCACAATTAAAAAATAAATGCTGCGCTCCGCGGTTTTTCTTCAAGTCAGTCGTGACGCGAGCCTGACGGACCATCTCACCCCTCTGGTTGGGTCGCCAAATGTCCCCGCCCGCAGGCCCGGGTCACAGCTGACTTGAATAAAAGCCGCCGATTGCAGCAGGTGCAGGTGTAAACAAGCACAGGTGACAACAATGGAAGTCGCAACCATGTGGCAAATGGCTTTTGCCTCAAATCAAGATGTGACGCTGCGCCGCCGAGCAAGGCGGCAACGGAGGCGCCTTGTGTACTTTTTCTTGAGAATGCGTGCCGAAAGTGGAGAGGTAAACCTGTTATTTTATCTGGCATTCATCAGCCACACGATAGTTGTGCCATTGTCACTCCCTGTGTATCACATGAATTCCCCCTTTAATTCACAACAGTGCATGTCATGGAAATCTTCACAGGTGTCAAAAAATATTATTTCGTTTACTAACATCAGCTGAAAAGCCAACATTGGCTGTTAGTACATGAGACATTAACCTGCACAATTCACAATCATTGCAAGCGACATCCATGCCATGACCGTTCTTTCTCCTGCTTTGTTCCTAACGCATGCAGACCGGACCCCTGAACTGCAGGCTACATACGGGGGTTCCGGTCCTCCAACGGTTTTTCGCCGGCGACGACACCAGGGAGGACTTCAGGCTGAGCAGAGAGTCCCTGGCAGTGCTGCTGGACCTCCTCCATCAGGACCGGAGGCATGGATGGGGCGCCACAATAGAGACTTTGGTTCTCCTCTTTTAGCTGGCCAGTGGGACATCATACCGGGTGGTCTCAAGGGTGTTTGGGATGCCCCGCTCCACTGTCCACCGCATCATCCACCGAGTTACGGAGGAGGTAGTGGCCATTAGCCACAGAGTCATCTACCTCCCGAGGTCCGCTGACGACCTGGCGGCCGTAACTCGGGGGTTTGCAGGGCTGGCTAGGCACCGCGCTTTTCTCAAAGCTGCCGGTGCAATCGACGGCTGCCATGTCAGAACTAAGCCACCAAGCGGTCCTGATGGTCACTGCTACATCAACAGAAAACTGTTTGCATCAATCATCATGCAAGCAGTCTGTGACCATCAGGGCCGCTTTATTGACACCTACGTGGGCTGGCCGGGGTCTGTGCATGACGCAAGGGTACTCCGGCACAGCCCACTGTACAGGCAGAACATCTACCCTCCTCCAGGGCATTTCATTCTGGCAGACAGCGGGTACCCGTGCCTCCAGCACCCACTCCCCCTCATCACTCCCTACAGGCTGCAGGTGCGAGGTGTGGCGGCCCAGCGCTTTAACGGGCATCATGCCAGGGCACGCTCTATAATTGAGCGTGCCTTTGGCATGATGAAGACCCGATTTCATGCCATCTTTTTAAAAGCACTGGAGATCCGCCACACCTTCGTGCCACAGGTACGTCATCCCTGCACACAATATTTTTGTTATACTTGATTATATATTAATTAATTAATTAAATAAATAAAAACACGAAAACTTATTATATATTATTATACTTATATTGTTATATTTTTTTATTTATTAAAGGTCTATATACTTTATGTTCATATAAATATTCCTCTAAAATTCAGGTCATCACCGCTTGTGCCGTCCTGCACAATATCTGCCTGGGTGCCGGTGACACCATGGCACCAGAGGAAGATGTGCAGGACGGCATGCCAGGGGATGAGGTGGAGGACAGGCTGGAGGCAGTCAGTGGTGCCCGCTGGCGGGACAGATTGTCCGCAGAGGTGTCGGCCCTGGAGGAGGTAGACCACGATCACGTCTACCTGTAATCGGCAAGTACAATTCATCTAAAGTTTCTCCTCTGTGTGCCACAGAATGTTTGTTGGTCTGCACATGCTTACTCTAGTATAATTATGTGTTATGAAAGTGCTTACGCTGCTGCAGATTGTTTCCCCACCCTTTAGTGTATGCAGCGTTTTGTAACTAGGGACCACCCTAAGGATAATGAAAAAAGCGAGGAGACGGCAAGGTACTCTTCAGAGCGGTTAAACAGTAACAGTAAAAGTTTTGGTGTGAATCACAATATAAGGGGGGACATGAGCTGCTTGGCTGAGGTCTGCGCTCTTCGAGTGCTTTTCCAGTTTGTATGTTGTCGACTTCAGTATTTTATTCCATTTTCATTTTCCTCACCTTTTAATAAAAAGATATAACTCAAAAATGAAAACTCGGAAATCTTTATTATGTGAGGATCTGTAGCGGTCGTACTTGCGTTGTGTAATTATTTCAGGAGGGAAACCGTACTTCTGTGGTTGGCACCTGCCGCTTATTCAGCATCTGGCAGATATTAACACAGTCAGGTCTTACACAAGACATGCGGCCGCTCTTTCACTGCAAGCATAAAATTACAACATAAGTACCCTCTTAAATATGGAACTTTAAAGATAATTAAAACAAATAATTACGGACATCACAACATGTGGACTTACCAGGCAAGCAGCGCAGGACAACTGTTGCTGCATACCTGGGTTCACTTCCCAAATCCCCAGGGGTGTTGCATTTGAGGGCTGCAGGGAATCTGAACATCAGTACTAATCATCCTTAATAAAAGAACCCAATGCGAGGCATGGCAAGTGAAATCACTAAACATTATTTGTAATTCCGTTAGGGATGCACTGGATGCTGTCTGGCCACCCTGTTGGATGCTGGCCACCCCCAGCATCCGGTCCATCCGCTCCTGGCTTCTGGCCTCAGCTTGTTGCTGGTTTTGAATGTCCTGTTTTAGCAGAGCCAGGAGCGGATCAGATGCTGGCCTCCTCTTCCTTTTCCTCCCCCTTGGGCGAGGTTGCACTTCATCATCTTCTTCGTCGTCGTCGTCGTCGTCCTCCTCCTCCACCTCCTCATCTTCTTCTTCTTCCTCTTCTTCCTCCTCGTCTTCTTCTTCTTCCTCTTCTTCCTCCTCTTCTTCTTCCTCTTCCTCCTCCTCCTCTTCTTCCTTCCTCTTCCTTCTCCTCCTCCTCCTCCTCCTCCTCCTGCTGCTGCCTGGCAGGTGCAGTGCCACTTGGCCCTGGTTCATCCTCTGGAAGTGAGGCAATCAGTACTGGGGGTTTTATTGATGGCCTCTGCCCCAGCATCTCATCCATGAGGATGAACAAGGGCCAAGTGGCAGCTGTCACTGCTCCCCCTGCCCCAGCCCCTGTGGGAGGCTCTTTGCAATCCTGAGAAAAAGAAAAACTGTTTAATAACTTGCAGGGGGGGAAACCAACACATTCTTCATGACACAATGTTCAATGTTAAGCAGCATCATAAAAACCTTCACATACTTTATATTTTCTTTTCAGATTTTCCCACTTCCGCTTAGCTTGGAGGGGTGTGACTTGGCCCAGGATCGGCAGCTCTGTCAGTACAGCTCTTGTCACAAAGAGAAGTGAGACAAAAGGTTAATATATATGTCACATTCACACACAAGTGTTCATAATTCATACAAGAGTTCATAACAAGATTCATAATCAGTCACATGACCTAACTTCTTGAGCATTTGGTGTTCCTTACCGCCATCCAGCAGCAGCGGAATTTCTGGCTCCGGTGAAGAGGTGCTCCCTCTCCCCCCGGAGCCGGATGAATTTTTCACTTAGCTCTCTTGTCCCTGCAAAAACATAAGTGTGAACCTTTTAATGTGTGACTTATTCCAAGTGTGTATCTGAATGGATAACAATGCAGGCACACAGTGCCAACATTTGTGTTTTGAATCCACACATGCATGTCAGATCAATTGTCCAGGCTGATGGATGGTCATTGTGCACTTCATAAAGAGGTTTGACCTTTACTCCTTCTTTATCAGGGCTCACTGCTGATAAAGCAGTTAGCAAAAAACTGTTAGCAAAACCCTCAAAACTGTAAGGGTTTTTCTAAATATTAATAATAATTCTAATAACATCATTACTTTTACAGCAATTTTCTAAACAAGGTTGCAATGTGCTCTATATGTAGTGCAAATACAAACGAACAAAAAAAACAAACATAGGCTACATGTCAGATTCTGGTATGACATAAACAGTGTTATAACACACACCACAGTGATTTAGACCTGAGTTGTTCATGTTTCTGCACTGTACTTGCAGCATCTAGTTTGCAGCATATTTGCCCCATACACATTTACGTCATCCCCTGGCAGTACCTTACACCTGGGGAATTGAAGTGGATGTCAAGTACCAACACTACAATTTGAAACAGTCGGCAAATGCGTTGCCTGCTTAGCTTCAACAGGGCAAAAGGGCTGATTTAACACACTCGGGCATCACCTGCAACCATCTAATCATCTTTTACAAACATTTAGAAATGTTCACAATGTCCTTTAAAGGCTTTGCTTCACCTGTTGACATGAAATTAAATCCAGTACTTACATGTAAAGGCGGGGCCGCCGGCTTTGCCTGCCATGTTTCAAACATCCTTGATGTGTGCAGGTGCGCTTTTATGCTTGTCTGTTGTCTCACCCGAACGGTGCACCTCAGAGCAGTAGATTAAAACATTGCTTTGTTTGTTGTTGTGGTTGTTGTGGTTGTTGTGGTTGTGGTGGTTGTTTTCAAGCGTGCATAAATGCACGCTTGAAAACATGCATAGCGTGCTTAGCATTTTTTAGAATCTCGTGCCAAATGGGACACCGTTCGCACCGTCGTGACGTCATGCACGCTTCAAATGCGCCGTTCGACGGTGCAGAAGGGCACTCAGGTCGATGCGGTCTCTGAAATGAGACACAGCCTTAGTGTTTCTGGACTGCGTCAGCTCAACCCACTCGTGACCACGCACTGGTTAGAGCATCCAAATCTTTGTCATAGCGCATGGCACCCATAGAATGCGGACTCTGGCGCATTAAAACAAGACAGGCGGGTCGCGGCCTTTGCAAAGATTCTCAACAGCAGCTGACCCAGACACAGCAACCTTTGTCATTTCACCACAGAGAGGGGGGTGCACCGTTCCTGGAGGTGCTGCAATACCAGGTCGATGCGTGGAGTGGACGGAGCAAGCCCCCATTCCATCTCCCAGCTCCAAAAATCAATTTAATATATGGTCCCCGGGTAGGGGACGTATCAGATATTAAACTGATAAGAACAGATTTTTTTTTTCTTTCAAAAGGTTTATTTTTACAGAACAATTTATGTGCTTATTTCAGAACTGGACTTTTTGTAAGCGGGATGACAATTTACATCAACATCGAACACATGTTTTTTTGTTTTAAAAAGACATTTTGCAGACACAATACATTGTTGATATGTAAAACAAATTAAAAGGCAATGATGAGTTAAAATTCTTTGTGTCTTAAAAAGTGTCCATGTTGTGTAAAACCACCTTAAAAGAAGGGCAATCATGTTAAAAGTTCTTTCTTAGGTTCTTTGTGCAGGAGCGGGGTGAGCCCCTACCAAGAAAAAACTCATTCTGCTCTACCAAACAGGTGTGGTCTCTCGGGGTCCTGCCTTGGTGCTCAGAGGAGACCCCCACCCTGCTGCTCCTTCCCACCTGCCACTCCCGGAGAGCCAGACTGCTGCTGCTTTGAACTTTTCCCGTGTAGCTCCGGCTCCTTCGTCCGAATGGGCACAGAGGCGATTCTTCTTTGTGGCTGTTTCCTAGGCCTGCCGCCTGCAGCCCCGGCCACTGTGACCGTTGCTGCTGCCATCCGGAGAACAGCCACAGGGGGGATCTGCTTGTGCTTCCTTACCAGCAAGTTCCTGGAGGTCCATATGGCGTCCTTGATGGCGGCTGCTGTTCATGGCTCACTCCATAAAGCACTAGCTGTGCTGTGAGGACCTCCCTTGCTGGTAAGCACAGGAATTGCTAGGTGCCGGCCAGTGCCCACTGTTCTACAGCAGCGCTGCACTCCCAGAGCAGATGCCTCACCGACTCAGGCGCGCCACAACCTGGTCGGGGGCAAAGTGAGGACGTTGACATGCCCCGGGAGTGCATAACAGACCTGACTGGGAGGATCTCATGAGCCACCATCCATGACAGGTCCCGGAGTCTGTTTGGAAGAGCAGGATGGTTCACATTGCGCCATGTGAACCAACTGTGGTGGGCTCACCGAGTGCAAGCCCGCGCACTGGACTCACTGGCTCCCGCTCCTGCACAACAGAAATGAGAGAACGGTGGTTAGTTAAAATGTCCAATTGTTCTTCTTCAAGTTTAAAATGTTTTAAAAATTTCTGAATTTCTGAATTAAAAGATATGCAGGGGGAAGGTTAAAAGACACTGAAATTCTGAGGTCCACAGGTAAGATTTTTAGTCTTTGCAGGTATGACCCCATCCAGAATTTTGTAAGGGCAGCTGTTTTGGGGTTTCTGGATGGGGCCATGGCAGCCTTGATCGCCAGCGAAGCATATCTGCTTTTTAAAAACAGGCCAAGGTCCGGCACTCCTTTTCCTCCTTTTTCTTTGTTTTTTTTCATCGTCTCCCTCTTGATTCTCTCCCACTTGGTCCCCCACAGGAAATAAAAAATTGTACGGTCCAGTTCTAAAAGCACATGTCGAGGAGGGATAAAAACAGAGCCAATCAATAAAAGCAAAGGTAAAATCACTGCTTTAATAATTAAAACCTTCCCTTCAAAAGTCAGTTGTCTTTGTCTCCAAAACCCCAGTCTCTGTCTAACTTTCCCTACTTTGTCTGGCCAATTTGTTTTTCCTCCCCCCTCCCTGTCAAATTTTACCCCAAGGATTTTCTGTTCCGTCTGGGTCACAGTCAAGGGGAGTCCAGTCATTTCAGTCGCCGTCCAAGGTACGTGAAATTGGGCTTGGGTCTTTTGTCTGTTGAGTCTTGATCCAGAGGCCCGTCCAAAAAAGTCAGT